TGAAAGTAACCAAGAATCAGAGAATCAAGCTTCACAATCAACAGCTCTTTCTCACTGGAAAAAGTTCTTTAGTTCATGGAAGAAGAAATCATTCAGACGTTTAGCCTCTTTTCCTCCTCTTGGGGTGCTGAAGATGTCGAGAAGAGAGAGCAAGACCGGGAGAGAGAATCCAGGGCTAAGTGACTTGTTCAAGTTCAAGTCGTCGTTGAGAAACTTCACGTTCCCCGAACTCCAAACCGCAACCAACAAGTTTAGCCATGGTTCGTTGCTATTCATCATGATTCATATACTTCTATACTAACTTTGATGTCAGCTCAGTTTATCAGTTCATGGATTGTTTTCGTTCGTTTTTTAAGACAATATGATCGGGAAAGGCGGCTACGCCGAGGTTTACAAAGGGCGTTTACAAGACGGGCAGCTGATAGCAGTGAAGATGCTGACTAAAGGAACAACAGATGAGAGAGCTGCTTGCTTCTTGTCTGAGCTTGGCATCATTGTTCATATTGATCATCCTAACACTGCTAAATTGATTGGTTGTAGCATAGACGGAGGCATGCACCTTGTGTTCAAGTTGTCTCCAAATGGAAGTTTAGGATCTTTTCTTCGTGGTGATTCCTTTAACCTTATTGAATTGTTCTTTGATTTTTAGAGTTCTTGTTCATCCCTTTGTTCATCGTTTTCCAGGTCCAAATGCAAGCAAACTCGACTGGTGTAAACGATACAAGATCGCTCTTGGTATAGCCGATGGTCTTTTGTATCTCCATGATAATTGTCAGAGGCGTATCATTCATCGAGATATCAAGGCCGATAATGTTTTGCTTACGGAAGATTTCGAACCTCAGGTAGCTTTCATGTTCTAAATAGTTGTTACATATTGAATCTTTACTGATCTTACATCGGTTGGAGAGGAGAACGATGCATTCCTCGTAAGGGTGTTGAAACCTCTCTCTAGCGGATGTGTTTTAAAGTTGTGAGACTGACGGTGATCTGTAATGGGCCAAAATGGACAATATCTGCCAGCGGTGGGCTTAGAATGTTACAAATGGTATCAGAGCTAGACACCGGATAGTGTGCCAGCGAGGACACTAGCCCCCAAGTGGGGTGGATTGTGATATCCCACATTGGTTGGAGAAGGGAACGAAGCATTCCTTATCCAAAACCTCTCCCTAGTGGACGCATTTTAAAACCTTGAGGGGAAGTTCGGAAGGAAAAGTCTAAAGAGGAAAATACCTACTAATGATGGACTTGGACTGTTACAAATGGTATTAGAGCTAGACACTGGATGATGTGCCAGCGAGGACGTTGGCCCCCAAGGGGGTGGACTGTGAGATCCCACATCAATTGGAGAGGGGAATGAATCATTCCTTGTAAGGGTGTGGAAACCTCTCCCTAGTGGACGCGTTTTAAAATCTTGAGGAGGAGTTCGGAAGGAAAAGCCCAAAGAGGACAATATCTACTAGTGGTGGACTTAGGCTGTTATAAATGGTATCAGAACTAGACATCAAGCGGTATGCCAGTGAAGACACAGATCCCATATCGATTGGAGAGGGGAACAGAGCATTCCTTATAAGGGTGTGGAAACCTCTCCCTAGTGGACGAGTTTTAAAATCTTGAGGGGAAGTCTGGAAGGAAAAGTCCAAAGAAGACATTATCTGCTAGCGGTGGACTTGGGATGTTACAAATAGTATCAGAGCTAGACATCGAGCGATGTGCCAGTGTAACGACCAAGATCCACCGCTAGCAGATATTGTCCTCTTTGGGCTTCTCCTCAAGGCTTTAAAACGTGTCTGCTAGGGGAAAGTTTCCACGCCCTTATAAAGGGTGTTTCGTTATGTGCCAATGTAACGACCAAGATCCACCGCTAGTAGATATTGTCCTATTTGGCTTCCCCTCAAGGCTTTAAAACGTGTCTGCTAGGGGAAGGTTTCCACGCTCTTATAAAGGGTGTTTTGTTCTCCTCCCCAACCAATGTGGGACATCACAATCCACCCCCCTTCGGGCCCAGCGTCCTCGCTGGCACTCGTTCCTTTCTCCAATCAATGTGGGACCGCCACCAAATCCACCCCCCTTTGTGGCCCAGCGTCCTTATCACAGTTAGCCAGAATGTTGACCCCCCAAGGGGGTGGATTGTGAGATCCCACGTTGGTTAGAGAGGGGAACGGAGTAATTCTTATAAAAGTGTGGAAACCTCTCCCTAATGGACGCGTTTTAAAACGGTGAGGCTGACAGCAATTCGTAACGGTTCAAAGCGGACAATATCTACTAGAGGTGGGCTTGACCTCTTTGTTTTAATACTGTTATGTCAACACTTGTACAAAGCTAGAGGGAAGAAAAAAATATTGGTCCTTCGTGGTTCATCGAACTCTTCGTTTTACGGAAAAATGTCGAGGAAAACTTTATTTATATTCTATCTTATTTCATGATTGAGATCCTTCTAAACTCGAATCTATGCAGATTTGTGATTTTGGGCTTGCGAAGTGGCTACCCAAACAGTGGACTCACTACAGCGTGTCAAAATTCGAGGGCACGTTCGGGTCAGTAGACGCCTACATTTTTCTCCTCGACGTTACTCGTTTTTGGGTCGTTACATTTCTCATCTCTTCAATGCAGATACTTTGCTCCGGAATATTTCATGCATGGAATAGTTGATGAGAAGACTGATATTTATTCTTTAGGTGTTCTGTTGTTGGAGCTCATAACCGGTCGTCAAGCTTTGGACGAATTACGTCAAAGCCTCGTATTATGGGTAACGATAACATTTGAACGAACGAACTCTACAAGTGCCTAGTTCATTCTACACACCACCATTAAAAAATTTCTTTATTTTAGGCAAAGCCTCTACTAGATAGCAACAATCACGAGGAGCTCATCGATCCCTGTCTTAGTAAAAGATACGATCTCGAAGAGATGGAACGAGTGATTTTGACTGCTTCTTTGTGCATCGAGCAGTCTCCTATTCTCCGACCTCGAATGAGTCAGGCAAGTAGGAAACTACTACATGTCATCTTCTCTTCATTGAACATGTAATGGAACGGAACACTCTGATTAATTACAGGTCTACGTCCTACTAAGAGGCGACCAATACGTAGTGGAGTGTGAAAAGAACACCAGGGCGACACTGCAACGAACGTACTCGGAAGAGCTGTTCGATGCACAAGAATACAACCAAACTAGATACCTAAGGGATCTTAAAAAACACAGGCAGCTTGCTCTTGGGTGTTGAAAGTATTCACCTTCACCTAAAGGAATGTTAACACATGAGCTTTGGCCCTTAATCCCTATATTTGTACTACATTCTTCAATGAGGATTCAAATACACCTAAGCTTTGACCCGACCCGATAACCCTCGTAAGCTTTTGAAAATTACGTTAATACCCTTTATTTTTTTGAAAAGTTTCTAAATTATCATTGTTGTTAGAGGGTGAACGGAATGTCCACGTTGCTGTTAGAGAGTGGACAGAACAACATAGAAAAAGAAAGCGTAGAAAATTTGGAAGAAAAGATGTTTCGTTGTTTCCGAGAAGGATTAGGTCAAAAAAAGAAGAGGGGTAGCTCGTTTCTTCTTTTTGTTCTTGGAAATTTTATGACGCACTGTATCTATGCTTGTAATTGATAGATGAAAATTTTATGACGCTATGTATTTACGCTCTATCTGTTATTGAGAGTGATAAAACTTTGATAAAACCAAGTTTTTAAGTAGATAAGATTGTTTTTCTCGATTTGTGATCAATGAAATCAGAACATTCTAAATTTTATAAGAAAAAACCCGAGATGAAAGTATAATTTTTTTTTTTAGTTCAACCATGTAAGAATCAAAGTGCCAATGTTTAAAAGTGGTGATCAGTGTCTTATTTTTCGATACATGACTTTAGATATTTCATTATTTTTTAAAATAAAAGTGAACGTAAATCCTCGAAGGTGCCATAGAGACTTCCCGAACATCCATCCATCCGAGTTCTATCGAGACATTGGCCTTCTCGTGCCCATGTCGTGTCATTTACAAATACCGTGCCCGATGATGGGTGTATGTAGCAACCTCCAAACACGTGGGCTGGGGCGCAATACCGGCACACCCGTGCCGCCCGGTACTGTCCTTAAAAAACCAATTTCAATGAAAGTCACCCGAAACACTCGTCTCGTCACACTCACTCACACTGTGATGTCACAAATGTGCCACAGGGTAGCTCACTCAAACCACATCCCACGGTCCCATATTTGAGTTCTAAAGTCAAAATTCAAACAAAATTTTGAAAATTTTTATTATTAATTTTTAAAAAACTTATCTTATATATAAAAAGTAATAAAGAAATCCATAAATAGTATTTGGTTCGTAAGGTTGGTTTTAAAAAATTAAAAAAAAAAATTTATCAAACGGTCTTAGATATTGTTAATATAAAATTGACACGTATATAGAAGTAGTGTAACGTTCGTGTCCAAAATTACATTATGACATCAACATTTCCTTACATCCCCTGACACATGTCACGTTACCTAATTACCTGTAACTTCAAGGCTTCGGACTACAATTTAGAATCCAAATTCGGCACCTACTGGCTTCGAATTTGTACCGATAAAGATTTTGTAGTTTAAATTAATATATTTACCGTGATCAATTAAGAAGATTCTTTTGTCAACCTTTTGCATATCTTACTGTTCATCGTTTTTTTGTCCGGAAGAGAAAAATTTGATTCTCGAACAATATTTAATTTTTTTAAAATTAAAAATTTAAGAATATAAATTAATTTTAGTCCGAGTGAATGATATTTTCTATAATTTAGCGTTATTTTAAAAAATAATTTTAAAAATAACAAATTATATAGTTTTTTAATAAAATAAAATAGAGATAATGTGTGTATTTGGTAAAGCAATTAATACTCTTAAATTTCCAATATCTATATTTATTTCCAAATTAAAAAATAGTATCCAATAAACGAGTGACACGTGGAAAATGGCTAATTCAAATTAAGACTGTTCTTAAACAAGAGCCGCACCGATTCACTCTCCACTTCACTTCAAATTTGAAATTCCCGAAAAAAACCCTCCATTTTCCTATCCTCTTCTCTCCCTTCAAAACCCTATCTGACCCAGCCGCAATCCTTTCAAAATCCTTGAACAATGGCGAAGAAGAAGCCCACGCGATCGGGGAACGAGCCAAAGAAAGTTCCGGATCATCAGGAGGAGAATAGAGATTCGGAGCAACAACTACTCAAATCTGCTGTGGATGAATCTGTGGAGAAGTCTCAGTTGCAGAGCTTGAAATCGTTGAACGAGCGTCTTTTGAAGGAGACACACGAGAAGAGAAAGGAGTTTGGAGCTCTGGTTCAGGCTAAAGAGGGTTTGGAGCTTGACTTGAAGAAGAATGCGGATGAGAAGAAACAGGTAATGTGTGAGTTAAGTGTGGCGTGTGATGGTGTTTCTGGCTTAGAACTAGAGAGAAATGTTGTTCATGTTTATTTACAGACTCAAATGGAGGAAATGGGAGGGGTTATCTGTAGGTTAGTTGAGAGTGAGAGAGTGAAGAATGTTGAGATTGGGAGATTGAAAGGTGAGAACAATGGGCTTGTTTTGAAGGTTGAGGAAGAGAGGGAGAAATGGATGAAGGTTTGTTGTGAGAGGGACGGGATTAAGGCTGATTTTGATGGATTGTTTGAGGAAACAGGGGATTTGAGGAGGAAAATGGTTGAAATGGAGAAGAATGAGAGAAGGGCTTTGGAAGAGATAGAGGATTTGAAGGTGAAATGCAAGAAGTTGTCGGGTGAGAAGATGGAGAGTGAGGTTATGAATGGGAATCTGTTGAAAGAGAAGGAATTGGTTAAGAGGTTATTGGATGAATCCGGTAGGGTTATTGAAGATTTGGAGAGGAAAGTCGACTTGAAAACGAAGGAGAAAGTAGAGGTTGAGAAGGAAAAGAAAGCTTTGGAAATGGAGATTGAGAGGTTAGGGAAGGAAGTGGCTGAGTTGAACGAGAGTTCGTTCGGTCTCAAACAGGAGAAGGAAGAGAATGGTAAGGTAATTTCTGAGCTTGTGAAGAGAATTGAAGAAGCTGTGGAGAAAGAGAGTGGTCTGTTAATGGAGGTTGATGGTTTAGTGAAAGAGTTACAGAGGAAGGAGAAAGATGTAGAGATGTTAACTCAACAGAGAGATTCGGTTAATGTGAATCTGAATCGAGTTGAACAGGAGGCTCTGAGTTTACGACGCACAATTGAGATAATCACTCGTGAGAAAGCTAAAATGGAGGAGGCAAAAGTGGAAGTGGAGAATGTTGTTGTGGACTTGCAAAGAGAATCGAGTAAACTGAAAGAAGCTGTGACTTCTTTGACTGAGTCGAGGAGTGTCGAGAAAGCGAGAAATGAGGAGTTGCTATCTCAAATGGGTTGTCTTCGAAAAGCTCTAAACGGAGTTTCGTTAGAGAGGGATAAGCTTGGTTTGTTGCTCGAGGATAAGGAGAAGAGGATTGAAGAAGCCATGGTTGAGCTTGAGAAAACGAAGACGGCACGGGTGGAGTCGATGAATGTAGCGAAGGAGAGGGAGAGGCGGATCGAGGTCTTGGTTGGGGAAAGGGATCGGATGGAGAAAAGCTTGCTAGAAGCGGAGAGTAGGATCGATGAACTGAAAGGGAAGGTGAAATCAGCTGTTGATGATTCAGAGAAGGCTTTGGCATTGTTGAAGGAGACTTGTTTGAGTGTGTGTGATGGTTATGAGAAGGAGGAAGGGGAATCAAAGGCATTTGTTGAACACTTGGATGCAATCAAAGCATCTTTCATGAACAAGGAGAAGATGGTGGGAGAAATGAAGCAGAGTCTCGAGACCGCCCGAGCGGAGGAACGGAAGAAGAAGAGCTTCTTCACGTTGGTTACTGCTGCAACGACCATCTTGGCTGCTATCTCTGCTGCTTATTTTAGCAAAGGCCGAGGCTGAGACCGAGACCGAGACCGAGGCCGTGGCCGGGGCTGTGGTTTTGTAGGTTAACCATTTGGTGGATCAACGTTGAATTGCTGATTTGGTAGTTTGAATGAGAACTAATATGATGATATAATAGTATAAAGCTTTTAGTATCATTTGAAGTACTCTTTTATGCAATAGGGGAAATGGGAGATGAGCAATATTGAAAATTCAATTTGCTTTTAAGATTTAAGAGTTCTTGAAGATTTGAAAGGCTATATAAACGGACTAAATCAAATTTACAATGTAACGGTAGATTTTTTGTAATAGTTATAGAATTGATTTTCGGAAAAGAAAGGATCCTACTTTTTAAAATTATGGTAGATCCCTTCACCGTCTTTGCTAGGTTCGGTGGCCAAAGCCTAAACGATGATGGTTTCCCTCGAATCACGATGAATACTACAAGGGGACAAGATGCAATAATTTCTTAAACGAAAACTTGTTTATGAGATCGCTAGGAGAAGATGGGATCTAATAGAAAATTCATTCCCACTTTCCAATGACTCCAACTCCCTGTGAAAAACGCTATTTTTCCTACATTTCAAGATAAATTTTAGTTGATAAACGATAATGATGATAATGACGACAATCCCAACTCCTTGTGAAAGACGCCATTTTTCCTACATTTCAAGGTAAATTTTAGTCAATAAACGATAATGACAACAATAATAACAGCAACCGTAATAGAGATGTCTATAGAACGGGGAACACGAAAGAAATAATAAATAAAGTGATATATATATATACACACATACATACATATATACATATAAGCAACGGGACAAGAATTTAATACTCGACCCAAACCTCGTTTAGCCAACCGGAAGAAATTTTTATTGACTACCTCTCCCATTAAATTATATTAATTTCGGAGTGTCATAAAAATTAACATTTGTGAAACAGTCCTTCAAAATAAGTCCATTTTGAATAATTTCTAAAAACAAAAGGACTAGAAAGTAAAATTTCAAAAGTTATCTTCCTCACTATTCCCACACAACCATAATGTGTTTGTGTGTGTATGCAGTAAATTATATGAGTAATAATAATTTACCATTACATGAAGCTAATATAAACTCCAACTGCACAGAGAGAATCTCTTAAGACTCAATAATTTGATACTCAGTTAAAGTCCCTGTGCTACATATGGAACTCGAGACGTCTGCAAGTGAAACTCAACCCGAACCTTAAAAATGGTAATCACAGTTAGCGATATGAGAACGATGGACCGGGAAAGGAGTATCTCGACGAAACTGGCATTATATCGCTCTCCACATTTACGTGATGCACCTGATTGTAATACGGTAGAGCATGAGCAGCATGACGCATGGGCTCAGTATCAGCGACGTAACTTCTTGAATACGTTGGAGCAGCAGCTTCATCTCTCCTTGATGGAACCAGATACGGGACGATCGATGAAAGGCCATATTGATGAGTGTAAATTGGATCATAGGCAGGTCGTTCCGAACCGCTACCAGATATTGCCCGTGATATTTGAGATCTAGAATCAATACTGTAAACTGGATAATCTTTTCCGTTAAAGTGTACGTGATCCGATCGAACCACTTCTCTCTGTGGCTGCTCTAGATGTCTTAGTTGATAGTCCCTATCATGATCTCTGTGGTATGTTTCTAAATAAGGCCGTGGCAAAGGCACAGGATCTAAATTTCTTCTTTCTACCTGAAGACCATAAGTTCGATAGTCCTTTTCGCTTACGTACAATTCGCGAGGAACTTCCTCTCTATGTCTAGGTGCCTCCTCTCGGTGTCGGTCCCGTCCATGAGATGACGATTGATCATTCCTGGCATCACCCTTGGACTTAGAATTCCTAACCCAAGTGTCTTCGACTTTCCTACGAACTTTCCTATCCCTAATTGGCACCTTTGGAAGGAACCCAATAGTAACCGAACTCGAGAGGAGTCCTACTGGACGGAAAAGAGCTGAGAGCTTCCGAACCTGAGATACGAAATCCTACAATGTAATCAAAGGAAAAATACAATAAAACAGTGCTATGAATAAGCCAAGCTAGCAGTAAGAACCTGACACATCCACCTGTTTAACAGAGAGTTCAACTTTGAACTTGTGCTTCTCAAAATAATTCTCTTGGATGGCATTCTTGAAAATGCTCTCAGGTAGTGGAAAACAATCCTTGTAAACATTGAATCGTACCTGAAATTTTAGTTTGGAATTGAAACAATATCATAATCAGATGAAAAGACTATCTTCTGAATAGTTTATATAAGTAATGAAGCTGAAACCTGAGCAGGGAAAGCTCCATTGAAAGCCTTCGGCTCGAGTTTCATGCCACCGGAAGAAGATGCCTTGTAAATCCCATACAGAAGCCTGAGATCAAAATCATAAAGGAATAGGTTTAGCCCGGGTTTGATTGCTAAGACGGTATCCTTTCTGCCAGCAGAAACGCCCATTACGTTGTAGTGAAAACAATCTGGCTTCGTTTTCGCACTGCACATGAAAATCAATCCGCCGAGATTTTCTTCGTTCTTATCTTCTATTCGACTCGTTTGAGCTCTATCCTTTTCTTTCCTTTTGTGATTCTTTAATCTCTTATCTGAAGAGCCAACCTTCTCAATATTGTTCTGTTCCTTGATGCTACTTTTGAACTCGGAATTGTTTCTATCGCTAGCAGATGTCTCTTCACCCTTCTCGATATGCTCCGCTTTTGAGATACTTTCATTAGCATTTTCCTTTTCGTCAGGCTTCACGGTATCTTCTACGTTCTTTTCATTACCTTTCCCATTTTTATTAGTCTTCATTTGGCTGCTCGCTCGAGATTTCTTTACGATTTTTCTTTTCACCTTCAAAGCTTTAGTAATCTTCTTCGTCTTTGACTCTGGTTTGCTGGAATTTTCAGTGGGATTCTGAGCTTCAAGAGTTTCTCCCACTTCTTGGGCAACAGAAACCTCTTTGTCCTTATTGGAATTCTGAGCTTCAAGAGTTTCTCCCACTGCTTGGTCTACAGAAACCTCTTCTTCCTTGTTGGAAATCGGAGCTTCGAGAGTTTCTCCCGCTTCTTGGTCGACAGAAACCTCATCGTCCTTTTTGGAATTCCGAGCTTCAGGAGTTTCTCCCACTTCTTGGGCTACATGAACCTCTTTTTCCTTTTTGTTATCTTCCTGTTCAACCTGTGCCTTTCTGGTCCTCAATGCATTGCTAGCAGGGGATTTCTTTACAATTTTTCGCTTTACCTTCAAAACTTTTACAGTTTTCGTTTTACGCGACCCTTTTGCAATGCATTTTTCATTAGACTTTCCAGCTTCAGACGTGTTACCGACTTCAGTCGCATCTTCTTTCATGTCATCTACTTGTTCTGTAGGAGCTTCTTTTCTCTTACCTTCATGTTCTGTTGATAAATTTTCTACATTTCCCTCGTCCGTCTGTACATCAGAACTACCTACGTCCTTCTCTTCGCATTCAGGCAGAGTTGACTCTGCCTCCATATTTGAATCTTGCTTCATGATCTACTCACATACACATAATGCCAGAGTCAAAACTATTGCAACACGTCGTATTCCTTTTTCAAACTCGTCATACGAAGTAGGAAGGAGATGCAAAAATCGAATGAACAGAGTCTTCAATACAAAATTAAGGGTGCAGTAATGCAGATACAACACCAGTAATGGTGAGTCTTCCATCTTCTCTTAATAATAATAATGTGAATGTCCCGGTTGGCTTTTATCAAAGGAAGGCACATTTTAGATGCTAAAGGAAAATAATCAAACAAAAACAAATGTTCACACATGATCTTAAGGAAAATAGATCAAACAAAAGCAAATAGCCAAGAACAACAAAAAGTAGCGAAGAACAAAACGATATAAAAATAGCAAAAAGAGGACACCAATTACTAGAACCAAGAATAAAGGAAAATCATATGAGGAAAAAAAAAAAAACTAATCAAAATTCTCAAAGAACTGCATTAAGCTCCAAACCTATAACTTAGACCTCTAAATTTCCAGAAGAATTTCACTACTCTTCTACGGAAAAATTCCTCTCCTCCTCATGAAAAACTACAGGTAATTGACCTAACTTACCGAGCGACAGTAGTTTGTTCTAATCCAAATTACGAATATCTAACATAAATCAATGGTATACAATTACAAAACCCTAAAATTCCGAACCAGAAGTTGCGTGCAAAGAAACACGCCAAAAGAAAACATTCACACCAAAATACATTATCGATTTCCCGCATCAAAAACACCAAACATCAGGCAATTTCTACTCCATCTCAGCTCCCTTGCTCTGTCTCGGTAACCAATCAAAGTTGGAACAATAACTAGTCGACTGAAACAAAAGAAGGTAGAGATTACCTGGAAAGCCGACGAAAATGGAGAGCAATTTGAAAGGAAACTATGAACAATATAGAAAGATAGGGCTTTGGCTTTCCTTCGATTGTTCTTATAATTAAAATAAAATCTGTGACAGAGGAGGAAGAGAATTTTTACAGTTATATTTTCCATTTTTTCAATAAATATGAAATTAAATATTGTTTTTGTCTCTCTATTTTAATTTAATTTTAATGTATGTAATTTCAATAAATCTTTAAAATAATTTTTAATTTTTTTTAATAATAATATTCATAAAAAAAACAAAAAACAAAATTTTAAGAGAGACTAAATTGTCCCGAGAAGAATTAACAATAAATTAAAGATATACACAAGTTGGGTTAAAAAAATCTTTTATCTGAAATTGGTCACTCAAGCAACCAAATAGAGTTCACAACCTAACCCTAGATTAGGTAGTCAGTTTGAATCGGGTCGAAAGTTCACAAGCTAACCCTAGATTAGATTGTCAGTTTGGATCGGGTCGAGAGTTCACAACCTAACCCTAGATTAGGTTGTCTTGTCAGTTTTTTTTTTATTATTATTTTGAAAAATAATACTTATCTACGATATATGTTACACTATTACACTAATTATCTACCGTATATGTTACACTAATAGCTAAAATCTTATAAAATTTAAATATTAAACATTATATATCACTAACCTTAGTTACAACTAATATCAGTTACAAATATCAAATATTTTTAATTTTTATAATAATTTTAAAAGTAGGATAGAGTTGAGTTGTAACGCGTTTTTTAGATTGTTCGAGTTGACCCGACCAAAATACTGTCAACCCTCAAACTGACCTAAATTTTTGGACAACCCAAACCCAAATCGAAAAAATCT